TTAAGCAAGTAAAGATTTCTTATTGTTTATAGAGTGAGATTCGGTTCGGGATGAGACAACAAAAAAATCATGATTTCGAAGGAACATGTTAGAAATCTCACATCATAAGTTGTGATGACACCTGGGTAATAAATCAAAAATGTGGACACAGTTTCTTATTATCAATTAGTTTTGAATTGAAAACACTTAATCTAATCGATAATTTTTTTTTTAAATGATACTTTAGGTTATATATTGAAGTAATGTATAATTCACACCTAATAGTGTTTGTGACGTAGCTCTATACGTTCTATATAGTTCATAAATAAAATCTTGTAGGATTAGGATAAAGTGATATGAAAAGAACACACAAAAAACAAAGTCATGAAGTAGTTATGACTGAAAATGAAATCTGGACTAAACAGCAAAGTGTCTTCCTACGCTTAGTTAAATAATAACTTTCTAGAATTACTATTTTCTTCACTTATTTATCCACGTTTTTGCTGTTTGAATAATAAACAAAGGATTAATTTGTTGAATAACCCAAAAAAAAATTATAACTTATATACTAACCAAAAATGTTATATGTGGCAAAATCATAGTTTTTAGATCTAGGGCTTTTAATTATTTTTTGAGTTATAATTTTTTTTTTTTGGCTATTTAATAAATTAAAGGGCAATTTGGTGTATAGCCAATAAAAAATTATAATTAAAAAAAGTAACCAAAATGGCATATGTGGCAAAATCATGACCATTGGATGTAGGGATTTTGGTCACTTTTTTAGTTATAATTTTTTTCTTCATTATACAGCAAATTAACCCGTGAATTAACCCATAAACAAAAGTGGCGAGGAAAAAAAAAACGTCGGTAGTCCCCCGTTGGTGTATGCTTGGATATTTTGCAGCGATTAGTGCAATATTTTGTTTTAACCTTTTGATTAATAAAAAAATACCAGATTTTTTTTTCCAAACTAGCCTTCTGAAACTCGTAGAAATCTAAGTTTTTTTTATCATTAAAAATGTTTACGAATAGAAAAAACTATTACAATTATAGTGAAATCTCCAAACATTACTAAAGCAGAAAACTAGCACAACACAAAAGTATGTATGGAAGACGTCAAACTAACACATCTACTACTATTCAATATAAGTAATTTTTACAAAACTCACCTATATGGATCTATACACATCTCTTTCATATACTCTTTCTATCCAATGAATTAATAGTTTATGTTACCCAATAATCTCACAACATTCGTGAATTATTGAATTGTCACCTTGACAGTTTCTGTTTTTTCGACGAATCTTCTAGTTGCAATCTCTCAAAATACGCCTCTAGGCGTTTACCTTACAAAGCATGATCCTTAGACCTATTTATACAAATAACCAAAAATCCTGAACATACGATCTTTGAAAAATTTCTTCAAATTTATCCTTTCTATATCTTGCACATGCCGACATCTTCAAATCCTAGCTGCAAATATATGCTCTTCCAACTCAACGTCAACTTTCCCGCCACTTCAAATCCCTTCTTTCATATATATCCAACTGTCTGATGCATTTTTCGGTTCCCACAACTTCTATATCACGGATCTAATGCATATTAAAAAGAAACATTTAGAAGGAACCTTTCAACCATTGGACCACCATTAACTAATTTTTCTTTTACAGAATAATACTCAAACTAATATCTACAATATTCTATTAAAATTAAATATTCTTACCATTCAAAAACGTTTAAACTAACTACAAATTGCATATATAATAGGCAAAACTAGATGTTACCGACGCTAAGTAAGAAGAAGAAAAAAAATATTATAAAACAAACTAAAGTGAAAGGAATATTGGATATTTGGATGATAACTTTACAAAATACCAAGGTTCAGAAAAGAAAAAAACTTTACAAAGT